CTGAAAATCTGCAAATTTTGTGAATAGATCGAAGTTGATAGGGCATCCTTTTTGAACTTGGGGGGGGGGGGGGGGGGTTAGGGTTTAGGGTTTCGGAGCTTAGCGTGTGAGGCCGTTGTAGGTCTTCTGGAGGAAGGGTTGTCAATTTGCAAGCTTTGAACCCACAAGCCCTGTCGGAGAAAATCTCCTACTCAGAAGTCACCCTAAACCCTAAACCCTAAACCCTCAACCCTCAACCCTCAACCCAGTGAAGAAGCAGGATGCCATTCGGCGAGATGAGTGCCTCAGCCGCATTGTGGCCGAATCCCCCCCCCCCGACCCCCCCCCCCCTTCTGCAGAAGCTCGCATGTCGGGCCATATGATATACTGTACCTCCCAAAAATGTGCAAAATGGACCGAAAAAAACCCACATAGCTCGCAGCAGAGCAGAGCCTTCAAAGAGAGCTGTGTTCGGACGTAGAAGTTGGAGCATCTTCTTATAACTTCGAGTTTGGAAGATGTTTCTTGTAAGCCCAGAAAACCCTGAAGACTTCGTGGCCAGCACCTTGCCTTGCAGCCGGTCTTGGCAGCCCTGGGGATGATTCTGGGATTCTCGGGATGATGCAGGCACCTCATCCTTCCTGCTACGCTTCCGTGATCCCTACGAGTAGTCTGTATGTGCCTGTACATTGTACTTGCTCACTGGGGTCGGCTGCACGACGAACCAAGAGCAGCTTGGAACTCGGTAGCACCAGCGAGCCTCGACAGCCTTGGGAGCTCCGCAAGCGCGGAGCATGCGCGCGTTTTGCACACCACAGCTTGCAAAAGAGTCCCTACACACCTTGCGTCGCTTAAGGCAGGAGAGGCAGGCTGCGCAGACGCAGAGGCCCGGACCAGCTTTCTTGAGAGGAACCTTGGCTCCGGGAACTTCGGTTGGCCACTTGCTTTGACTGGGGAGCATTAGAAGAGAAAGTCAAATCAATCCTGCCCAGCTCAAGAAAAAGCACGAAACATGGGGGGGCTCGGCTGAGTCGTGGGGTGTGACATCACCCGTGCACCCTTGAAGGCACCCGAAAGGCAGCTAGATATCGACCCACTCACCAACTTGCTGCTTACGCCAGGGCTGTGGCTGAGGCTGCTGCAACTGCCAAGCAGGCTCTGGCTACTTGCCCGAGTTGAGCACGCCTTGAGGGGATTGCAGGCTTTGCCTGCAGTGGCCTAGTAAGTTTTGGTGAGGTTCGACTAGAGATGCTAGAGAGGCTAGAGAGGCCCGTGCATGCCTTTACTCTGCTGTGCTGGAATCATTGGCTTCCTCACACATCTGGACAACCTCTGGACCACTGACACAGTAGGCCCTTCCCCCTTATACGAATCCCCACCCTAAATTTTAAGCATCATTTTTCGCGGACCCTCCCGGCACCCAGCCCAATACTAAACCTGTTTGAGAATTAGGGGGGCTTGAGGCCCTCCGCCCTTGAGTTGAGCCAGTAAGGAATTCAGTTAGGGTTTAGGGCTTAAGGCTCAGAGGATTGTCAGGGTTTCGGGCTCAAGGGAAGCTTAAGGGCTGACTGGAGCTGAATCTCGATGGGTTCTAGAGGTGCCCCGGAGCGTTCAGAGGCCTCTATGTTGCCGCTGGATTGTCCCAACTGCTCTAACCGTTCTAATCCCCTTGGGCCATGAACCGCTGCTGGGCCTGAGGCCAAAGCTGAAGAGGGATCGAGGCCGTACACGGAATGGGGCAGTTCAAGCGTGGGCTGGGATTTGAGGGAGGCCGAAGCCGATTGTCCGGTCATCACTTTCCTTGCGCACTCGCAGATTGACAATTCCTACCATGTCGGTCAGGGGCGGATGTCTGAATCTTTTGGTCTTTTGGCCTGGACTTGCCTAAAGCATAGAACCTACCCCCTGTTCCATCAGAGAGTCATCAGAGTGCGGTTCGAAAAGCTGCAGTAGGCGTCTGCGAGAGCTGAGTGCTCTGTTATCGGAGCTGGGAGATGAGGCAGTCTTTAAAAAATACATACTTTGGGTTTTTTCGCATCCACGACAAGTCATGCAGGCGGTTCGGTTGTAGTGTGAGTCGTCGAGATGTTCTGTTCTGTGCGGAAGGCGTCGAGATGAGATTATGGAGCGCTTGGCCAAGGAGTCCACGACAAGCTTTCGAGGGCTGAGTTTGTTCCGGTTGGATACACCACCCCAAGTACCCCAGCCCGAGCCACATATCCCCCCACACCGACTACAAGGCCGGCCCTCAACTTGAGCCCACACAGAAATCTCGCCGTAACGTGCGGAGCCAGTGGCTGCCGTCAACCTTCTGGGAGTCTGTTGATGGCTGAGGGACGCAAGTACCCAGACCCAAGCTTCTCACCTTCGCCATGCCTATGCCGCCCATGAAGACCTCATCAAGCGATCCAGCGTCCGCCAGACTTCATGGCAACTGTGGGCGCTTCAAGTCCATTGAGCCGCCGTTGCTCTTCGGGGGTTGCCGCGGGGCAGCCCCACAGCATGCCCACTCCGGTCTGCCGCTACCGTGCTGCTGACACGGACAGAGACACTTTCAGTCGCCTGGCATAAATGCTCCTCAGTCCATCTCGGGCAATGCAGAGCAAGCACAGAGGATCCTTGACGGGTGGGGCCAGATTTTGGTGACATGGTATGCCACATTATGCCACAGTTGAACGCCCCGTGCGATAGTACACCACAGCGGGATGCTGTGGGCAGGTCCCTTTGACATATGCCGACGATTCTACCCCTTGGATCAGAACGAAGGGAATCCTGTTCTTGGTGCTGTTTCGGGGTGCGATGGAGGTGTGAAGATCCGACTTCCCTTCTTCTTGTGCCTGGTCTGCCTGGACTCTTCCGTGTACCTGATCTTGACCTCGGGTTTCTGCAGACCATGGACACCACTGTGTCGAGGGCAAGGAATTTTCGCTTGACATCACTATTATTGGGAAAGCGTTACAGATGCGGCGGGACACAGCCTTGCCGGCCTCGTAGAAGAAAGTGATGAGGATGCACTCTTAAGCTAGTACGTCTAGGTACCCCTGCGTTCGGCTCCCCATTCGAAGTACATGTGTCGGCTGGGCTTGACAGATGGCAGGCGTGACGGCAACATGAGAGCACCCGGCTTGCCAGTGCAGCCTGGTGCCTTCGAGTGCCTCAACTGACTTCGGATGCGCAGGAGATCCACGAACTGAAGGAGAAGCTGGAGACGGTGACGTCTGTTTCCCCATCCCAAGGCGCGCGCTTTTGGGGGGGATCCTGCGGAATCCGGTGATGTCGGGTCAGAAAGGGCGGCCGG